CACATTCATTAGACAAAACTTTTTTTCATTTCGGGTAGTAGCTGCGTGGAATGACCTTCCTCCGACGGTTGTACACGCTCCTTCTCGAACCCAATTTAAAGCACTATTAGACATTTATTTATGCGAATCCTCGCGCTGGCGAGCATACTGCCCCGCGCTGAGAACATAAAGAGCAGTGCTACACCCTTTTTTCACTTGTGCCTTCCAGGTGAACGACAGCCACTGACCTACAAGAACAAAACCGACCCGGGAAACTTGGGCAAAAGCCTCGATCCTGTGTATCAATCCGTGAATCCGTGAATCCGTGAAAACTGAGATTCGCTGTGTGTGACGTCACTGGACAATCAGGCCGGTAGATAGTGTAAGAGGTTTCGCAATTTAGGACATTTTCGCACCAGTGTTCGTTCCATCGAGGTGCAGTGTTTAATGAAGTTCTGCATGTTGCCCGCAATTCGTTGTGGTGTTGTGCGTTTTTCGCAAACTGCCGCTGAGACTAAGCTGTTAACCACATGCTGTGAGTAGTATCACAACAAACCAGGAGAAATTTCTTAAGTCTTCCCGATGATATTGAATATACGTTCAATCAACAACCGATTTGTGTCAACGATGATGACGTGTTGTTTTGGAGGTTCAGTCGACGGGCACTAGAGAAAATGAGCCACCCGTTCGTCGTCATCTGCGAATTTGAGTTGTATGATTGAAATGTTTCTGTACTCAGGTTTTGGTACTGAGGCAACTGAAGAATAACACTGGGTCGCCCTTTATACAGCCTTATAATATAATCATATATATGTAATCTTACGGTTCATGTTACGTCAGATTGCCCGGCAGCGAAAACGCTCCCGGTCTTTTGTTGGAAGTTGATTTTTCACCGATCGGGCCAGCGTATCGGAAGAATCGGCGTATCAATTTTCCATTGAAACTACACCTTGCCCCTGTTCCGGTGTGTCTGTGTCGGGAAATGGCTGAGTGACAAGAAACACAACAGCTTCATCACGAGCAGGCGAGTGCATAAATCAGAATCGCACTTTTGACCTTGAATCCAAACCGTCCGATCAGCGTTGGATTGACGCTCATTGTCGTCGGCCGTTGATTCTACGGATTGCCTGAACATTCATTATCAACGTTCCTGCTCCTGTTTCGTGTCAAGACACTCATCATCATTTGACTTCACTGAACTAATTGGCCACTTAAGCGTCTAATCGGCGACGAGCCTTTCAGTCCACATGATTGGTCGCTTCCCTGGTGCAATTTTGGTGCAGCTTGAGGGTCTCGATAGGTTTCGGGGATTATGAGATGATTTTCAGGAATCTGGTCTCCTGGATGAATAAATTCACCTGGTGCAATTTGCAGCTTGAGGGTCTCGATAGGTTTCGGGGATTATGAGATGATTTTCAGGAATCTGGTCTCCTGGATGAATAAATTCACCTGTATTTCAAGGAGCATGGATTTTTACTTCAGCAGTTGACTGCCTCAGTTATTCTAACATCTAACAGTTGAAAACAGTACAAAGTCAAATATAATCGTTTCTTCAGGACTGCCATTGATTTACGGCCAAAAGAGAACTTCCCGTAACGGTTCTACCGGTCATCAACAGTGTTTTATATGCCAGTCTCCCACTTCACATATTTCATACTTTTCCCTCTTTGGACTTTACGCAACCAATTATCGTTTTTATACATTCGAGGTCTCCGCTGAAGTTGAATCCTGTGGCTCCTCGCCTTATCCAGCGGAATGACCATCCATAGTTGTCAAAGAAAGTCTTGCTTGCCATACAGGTTTCAGTCAAGTTTCGTTACGACCGAGATCATCAAAGGACCCATAAATACTTTTTTGATCCGTATTATGTTCCACAGAGATTTTCCAAGGGAAACTGTTGTTGTTGTTTTGCCACAAAGGGAAGGTTAGTGAAATTGCGAGATCGGTGGTGTGTGTGAATAGTAAATGACCAGATATGGTCCGGCTGGTTCCCGCTCAGCAACGGAATCACTATCATGAGCACAAAAAGGCGGCTCCACTGTAGAGACAACACCTAAGTTTCGACGCCTTGATTCACGAATCTCTGGAATGTGCATTTCAAACTGAACAGAAGATATAGACAGGATGGCCTCGCTGAACCACTGGTTGTGAGACAAGTTTTGATTGTTCCGCAATTGGCGCCGAAAATGAATACACACTTAACGAGCGTTCCCATTGAGCCAAATATATGTAGCAAGCTCAGTGCATGCACGAAAACGAACATGTCTCTGATGTCCCTCGGCGGTGTTCGCAACGCTATTGAAGCACATTAGAATATGGGTTTAATGGACTTCCTATCCGATACTTCCGGACTTGCATCTCTTGAGCTAAGATAGAGCATCGTAGCAACTTAGTGACATCACTTATCGGCAACACCTTTTTGTTTCCAAATAAAGCTGCAAACCTTAGGGCCACTCACTTGGTTGGGGAAGACTAGTAGTTGCTAACGGATAGTTCAGGTGTCTAGTGCAGGAGCGCTTTGTCGTTCATGTGGTTCATGTTTTTATTCACACCGATGCTCATCAATTCCTCCCTTGCGTACTTCACTGGATTGAAGAGTTTTCGGTGAAAAAGCCCATCGAACTCCAGCTGAGTATATTTCACCTAGTTCATTTTCAGCTTTGGGGTGTTTCTAGAAAGGGCTGTATCAACACCTACCGGGGTCATTCCGGGAGAGTGAATATGGCTCGTTTCTCGCCCGACGGGAAATGGGTTGTTTCCGCGGGAGAAGATGGCATGATCAAGGTATATCCATGCAGTCTATTGTTTTATTCAGAGAAGTCAACCATTTTGAACGTATTTTGTTAAGCAATCCCTATGGCCTTGGGGAACTGGATTTCGGGAATTTCCTGGTGTGAATCACCTGAAACGATGAACACATTTACAGTTTTATTTTTGACGTTTTGCACAGGAAGAGTTGGTCCAGCAGCATCCTCTTGTTGTAGTACTGTGAGAATTAAGTCTTGGACGTATGTTGGTATGGCCAGATGGACTAGAAATCCAGAATTCAAATCAGCGCAACAAGTGGCGTGTATGTATTCGAACTGGCATGTATATACAGCATATGGAATATTAAAACAAGAGAATAATGAATATAGTAAAGAACAGAGTATCAGTCACATTCGCCGCAGCTTGAATGGGCGTGTGGATATTTATAGTCCAGTGGTGGTCTTGATCAGGATCTTTCGGATCTTCTCGGAATGGGAAATTCAGATTCTTCACAGGTAGTGCGTTCTTCAGATACAAAGTTTTGTTAGGATACCGTAATATTATCTAAAAAGAGCTCATTAGTATTTGAAATAGCAGGAGTGCCGTTAACAGACTGACCTATGGCATCGAAATCAAGCTGGTCAATGTGACTCCGGTGCAAGATTGGTCATCCAAATCGAGAATTGTGACCATCCGTTTGCCATTTGATGAAAGTACTGTTCCTGTAGCGGGTCGTAAATCATTACCCTTGAAAAATGTAACATCAGCCGTTTTGGCACAGTCAAGGCTTGTACGCAACGAGCGAGATTCAAATAGAAGCGCGGGACTCTTCCCAGTAACAGAATGAACTTCATTCCTGTATTGCATTGAAAAATTATCAACCCCACGGTCAAATTCCATGAAAGTAGTAGGAGAGAGTGAAATAATGACAGACTTTAGTGTTCGGACAAAATTCTCAGAAAGTCCATTCGACTGGGGATGTCGTGGAGCAGTAAACAGGTGTCGACATCCAAGACCTTTCAACCATTTCTCGAGGAATTTTGCAGTGAAGTGTGTGCCGTTGTCAGTGGCAAAAACAGTTGGTGCACCTTCATGGCTGAATACTTTCCTCAATGCTTGCTGAGTGAATTC